TTTAGGGGTATCCATCTTCATGGTTTGTCTCCTCATTTCATAGGCAGTTAAGTTTCCAATAAGTTCATCCAGTCTAAGGGTAGCAATATTCTTGGATTCCTGAATGGCAGTGATTTTGCTTTCCTATGTGACTGGCAGAACTTTTGTCAGAATCTTCTCAACCTTGTCTTCTTCAAGAATAACCCTTCCAAGAGACTTAAGTTCATTTGTCAGTGTGGTGAACCTTGNTCTTGTCTTTGAGATGAAGAATACTTACCTCTTGTTCATCATCTGATTCTCCGATGGCCATTAGTGATTGCTCCTCCTCAGCTTCATCTTCTGAGTCTTTATCTGAGGTTTCTCCCCAAGCAGCAACCATAGCCTTGGTTGAACCTTTGTTTTACTTTGGTTGAACCTGTTCCTTCTTCCTGTTCCTTCGTTCAGCTCTTTCTTTCTTCCACTCAATTTCCCATTGAGGGCAGTTTTTGATCATGTGGTCAGTCTTACCACACTTGTAGCATCCCTCATTGGTCTGTTTCTCCGGAGCTCTTGTTTTATTGAAGTTTGTACCTCTTGAAGAACCCTTTCCTCTCATCAAGTACTTCTTGAAATCCCTAGTGATCATAGCTACTTCATCATCTTCCAAATCTGCACCTTGAGCAATTCTGAGAGCCAAGCTTCTCTCCTTTTTGGGGGTATCCATCTTCATGGTTTGTCTCCTCATTTCATAGGCAGTTAAGTTTCCAATAAGTTCATCCAGTCTAAGGGTAGCAATATTCTTGGATTCCTGAATGGCAGTGATTTTGCTTTCCTATGTGACTGGCAGAACTTTTGTCAGAATCTTCTCAACCTTGTCTTCTTCAAGAATAACCCTTCCAAGAGACTTAAGTTCATTTGTCAGTGTGGTGAACCTTGTATACATCTCTTGGATGGTTTCCCCTTCATTCATGGTGAAATTCTCATATTGAGAATACAACAGTGTTGCTCTGGACCTCTTCACTTGAGGTGTTCCTTCATGAGCCACTTGCAAAGTGTCCCAGATTTCCTTAGCAGTGGTGCAACTTTGAATCCTGCTATACTCGTCTGGTCCTAATCCACACACAAGCAATTTTTTGGCCTTGGCATTCTTTTTCCATTTCTTCAAATCTTCAGCAGTGCAATCAGCTCTTGTCTTTGGCACATCAACTCCTTCAGCATTCTTCTTTGTAGTTGCTAGGGGACCATCAGTGACTATGTCCCAGAGTTCATAGTCTTCCCCTATGATGTGATCTCTCATCCTGTTCTTCCACCAAGAATAGTACTGACCATTGAAAAGTGGAGGCCTAGCAGTGGATTGCCTTTCCCAGTTCCCAGGTGGTGCACTCATCGTTGATCTTCTCCTAAGGTGTTAGCCTCTTCAAGGATAACCTGCTCTGATACCAATTGATGTTCTAGACGTCAATACCACACAAGAGGGGGGGGGGGTGTGATTTGTGTGGTACCTAATTTTCGCACTAGAAGAACCTGGTTCTTCAAGATGTACTTATTAAGACTGTTTGCGGAATTAAGAGTGCATAAAATAAAGAACACAGAGATTTTTACGTGAAAAACACCTGGCTCAAAAGGTGAAAAAACCACGACCTACTACTCAGTAGGATTTTCCCAAACTTCCAATAAAATCACTGAGCCAAAACAGCATTTACAATACTCTTTGTAAACCTAAGGATTAAACTCTAATCCCAGTGTGGCACACAGCCTCAACTGCTGCGACACTTTCAAGTTAAGTCTAACTGAATACTCAAAGTAACTAATACAATTGCTTCTATGAAAGCTGAAAGGTACAATTTTAAAACACCTACTACAATTGAACTAGAATAAAAGAAAGACACAATGGAATTGGTTCTTCTATATTGTCCAAGTAGCTTCAGGTTTGCACACTTGAATCTCACGTAAATTGCTTGCAAAAAGCCTTGCTATTTTGCTCTTCAATTTAGTTTCACTTCTGCGTTTGTGTGCTACCCTGTAAAAGAGAACAATTATTATTTATAGAGTTAGTAATCAGAGTTAGATTAAAACTCGAATTGCCGATCCTTCATCAAATTCGAGTCCTAGAACAACTCAAACTCCAATCCGTATTCTTTATCCGGATGTAGTTCTCTTCACATAAGGAGACTACAACTCCTTATCCTATGCAACCTTTTCGATCACCTTAGAAGATATTGTTGCTAAACCTTGAGACTTATCTTCATACGTATGTCACGTGTATACGTATATCAACACTGTGTCTGTCTCATATGATGGACCTGGTTCATGACTAAGTTCATTTTGTCAATCTTCAAAACTTCATCTGAACTTGGGCCAACAAGGGGGAACATCTGTGTGCCGCGGAGGAGGTGGAATGGACGTCTTGATGTAGGGCTGATGTCTCTCTCGGCCGAGGCGGGGTCCCAACTGATCTCTTTGACCGTCATTGCGACGATCTTTCCTTGCTTCAGCTTGAACTGACATCAGCCGTTGGATTGGGCCATTGAGGACGTCCTCGTCGGCCCTTACCTCGACGCAATAGGCGTTGTGGATTTCTTCCCAAGTGGTGGGAGGATATTTCATGAGCCTGCTTAACAGCTTTCTGGTCGCTCTCGACCCATTCCTGCTTAACCCGTTCTGGAAGGCTAATACCATCATCCCCTCTAACACATTCGGCAAGCTCATTCTCACCCTGTTAAACCGGGCCAGGAAGTCCCCGAGTCCCTCGTCGTCCGTCTGCCTAACGGCGAATATGTCTTTTACCTTGGCTTCCGCCTTTTTAGCTCCTGCGTGAGTGGTGACAAACTTGTCCGCCATTTCTTCGAACGTTGCTATTGACCGTGCTGGTAGTTGTGAGTACCAGGTTAGGGCTCCCTCTATTAGGGTTTTGCCAAACTTTTTCAGTAGCAGTGATGGTACTTGTTCTTTCGAAAGATCGTTGCCTTTTACGGCCGTGACGTAGTGGATGATGTGATCTTCTGGGTCCATAGTACTGTCATATATCTTCAGGTATGGTGGCATTTTGAAGGATTTTGGAATAGCGTGGGGGGCTGCTTCCTCGTTGTAGGGTTGCTCAATGGACCGACCAACGTCCCGTTTTGGTAACAGCTTTAGGGCGCCTGGTATTTTGTCGACCCTTTCTTAATGCTCTTTCATCTGATCGCGGAGTGCCTTATTCTCATTTTCCATTTCCTCCATTTTCTTTAGAATGGCTGCGAGTGTGTCACTACCTGCGTCAACAGCAGTACGAGTGTTACCTGTGCGGGGGACATCTTGTTCGCCGGCGAATGTCGCGACATCTATGTGTGCAATGACTCTGTTCTCCCTTTGAGCGGGTTTATCAAGTATGTTGTTTAGAGTGTTTGTTAGCCACTCTTCCAGTAGTCTCTTTACCGCCGGTGGTGCCTCTCCTGTTGTAGACGTGGAAGCTTCTTTTTCGCGCGAAGCAGTTACGCTTTCGTGCGGAGGAGGTGAAGTGTCTCTCCCAGGTGTAGCGTTTGGTGTCACGTTTTCGTTGTCTTCCCTGCCGTCTTCATTGATGGTGTTCGGGATGTTGGCTGTGACACCTGCTATTGTTTTTAACCTTGCATCTCTTTTTCCTGCCATTGTTAGTTTATGCGAAGCTGGGAAGAGATGGCTATCCCTTTTTATGATCTAGATGAAACTAAAATCTTAACTAAAGAAATCCCCACGGACGGCGCCAAATTGTTTAGCCAAAAGATATTAAAACCTTTTATGATTAAATCAACTAATGATAATGATGAGATAAATCTTAGACAAGCATAACCAAATCTAGATCAAGTGATGGATGAAGTAAGCGAGATGAATAATGTTATCTAATATAGTATGTAGGAATCAAGCAAATGCTCATAAATGCAACAACTTAAATGCACAATCAAATCTTAGTAAATACGATCAACGTAAAAAAGGAATCAGTATGAGATGATTGTGGAATCTTTGGATCTTCCCAATATCGTATAATGATGTATATCTCTTTTCGTGCAATCAATGAACAAGGCGGCTTTAGTATTCACTCTCAGATGAATCTTTTTACAAAGTATTTTTTTGTCTTTTTTGTCCCGGATCCCCTTCTTCTTTACTAATCCTTCCTATTTATAAGGGTCAATCTCCCAAGAAATCCTAAAAAGTACAACGTAAACAATATTCGAAAAGCATATTCTTACCGTCTCCTATTAAGTTTAACCTACTGTTGACATCTCGTCTCGACTGAGCGTTCTTGATCGTCATCCTTCATTTCGACAACCATCAAATATTGCGTCATGATAATCTCGTTCCCCGTCTCACTTGGTAATTGTCGTGGTTGTCAAATTTGGACACATACAATACTGAAGCTGGGCAGCAAAGGTTTTATTAGGAGGAAGAAATGGTAAGAATAATTACAAGTAGGAACAATGTTCCAGTTCTTTCCTTAACCCATTAATTTCCAATATTGAACAAGTATAACCTGATATTCATCTCCTTCTGCTCTGTATCTTTAAACGACTTAAAAGGAAAAACAAATAATAATAATCAAATTGTATACTCCATGCATGTTGATTTGTTATTTTTTACCTCGCTGAGGTGGTAGCTTTCTTCTCTTAAGTGCTTATATATACTCTTCATATTTCTCTAGTCAGTCTACTAACAGTGTGAAATTTAAAAAGTTCAACTAATTCTTAAACAATCCAATTAATCGGGTATAAATATCACTTCATTTATACCATCCATCCACTCTTAATTAATACATCATACATAGTTAGGTGTAATTTGTTCAAAAATTCTTCTAAAGAGCTCGTGTACACAAATTATTAAACCCAAGAAATATCACCTCAGATTTCACTCTACTTTAATTTAGTTAGGAATAGATTTCCATATCACAGCAGGATATTTTGTGATACGTTGCCCTACCAGGGACAACCACGTTCAATATAATTTCCTCTCTACTGTCCTACCTTCATCGTTATACCAGCAGAAAAATGTAATAATAATACAGCTGAAGGTACATCATACATTCATACTAAACATAATAAAAAGGATCTTATGTTAGAAACGCAAAAGCAACCGAGGTCAGATTAATTACAACACCATCTCTTGTCATGGTTCAAATTAGTACGTAGTAATACTAGTATTTTAGCAAATCCCTATCAAACAGCAGAGCTAGATCTAAAAGCGAGCGAGAACGCTCAATTTCCACAACCCCACTAAAACAAAGTTCTAAAAAATATTTACAATTTTCTTTTGATAGAGAAGCATGCAGTTCAACCGTGCAATGCAGGCCTTTGCTATTTCATGTACGTAGACAAGCCTAAGGTGGCAGTTGTATTACCCGATGGCGGATAGATTTACTCTTTTACCCTTTGGGTTGAGTTGATATTACTTTGACCTACCGGCCCAAGGAGAGAGCTGCCTTTGTATCCAACCTCCATGCAAATCCTCCGTTGTCCATTCTCCACACATCACACGGCAGAATCAGCGAGTTTTTCTCCTTCCCGCTTCTGATAACCCTAACCCGGCACGTGAACGCCGCCGTGTTTTTGTTCTCCGGCAGCCGTACATCTTCTTTCATCACAAGCCAAACAGCGACTTCCCCCTCTGCTACGTCTCCCTCACTCACCATCTCCTTGTACGCCTTATTGGCCCACCTAACTCTGTTTAAACCATCTGATACAAACCCTGGACAGATGTCCCGCTCAAGATTTACTAGTTTCTCCTCATCCGTACGTCCTAGCCCATACCCTTCAACCCACGCGTCAGTCACGCTTTCCACCTTTACCCACGACCCCACTACCCTTACTGGCTGAGGCAACATCACTACAGGGGTACGATCCATACCAACCCCTCCGTAACCCTGCATCTGACCATTATCATTATTATTCCCTTGGCTACCAAAGTTTAACCAGATCGGAGCATATTTTTCTGGTTTTTTCACAAAACCTACTGAATGGTCAACAGGAGAGTCCTTCGGTTCAGGAGACTCGGATAATAATGGTAAGGTAACTACCGCTTGCCCACCAGATACAGTCTTACCGTTGGAATCATTTTCCTCAGGTGAAGTAGCCTTCCTTTTTCTACCAGTAGGACTACGACTTCCGCTACTAGATCTCTTGTTAGAAGTTCTACTAGTGTTTTTATTATCTTTAACGTACCTTCGCTTCCAACGGCCAGTACGAAGAGGAGCCTCAGTCTTTTGTGGAGGAGTAGAAGCGCCGGAAACAGACCCACCAGCGGCTGGTTTAGGAGCGATGGGTCTGAATCTGAGCATAATCCGGTCTACTTTTGACATATCGTACGCACTACCCCCTGCGTACCTAGCAATACAACACCCTCCTCTACCATCCATTTCCTTTTTTGCGTTTATCTCTTAATTACTCCAATCTTAAGGGAGAAATATACCGAGTATATCTCTTATGGGATTTTGTTAATGTTGAAGAAAAGTAAGGTGAAAATTATGAATGCATAGAGATGTTTAGGGAGAGGTGGTGAATTTATAAGTGGGAAGAGAGAGAGGAGAGGACGCGTGTGAGGGAGATGAATAACACGTGGGAGAAGAGAGGTGAAACAGCGCAGAGAGATGATTGGTTAGAGATAGAACGTGGCGTTAGTTTAAGGTGAGCCCCACGTGACAGAACCTATCGGAAGGAGGGTTTTCTCTGGGGCCCATTATTAGCCAATAGGAATGCTGGGAGTGTTAAGTATGGCATCAAAAGCGGGGCACGTAGATCTTTGTAGGATGTGAGTTTGTTCCAGAAGGTGAATACGTGGTCCAATTATACAGGATCATCTTAGTCTCTCTCTGTCGATTGCACCACGTGGACGGATGATACGACCACCAGAATTGCTGGTTACTAAGTTCTGATATTTTCCTGGAAAAAAAAAAGATGTTCTGATATTTTGACGAAAGCCATGGACCATTGATATTTGTCCATGGCATTTTGGTTAGAAATAATGTGTAAAATAATATGCGAAATATACTCTTTTGCATATTTATTTAATGTAAATTATAACTATGTCATTTTTATTCTTGTTTTTTTGGTGGGAATAATAAGTAGTGTAGACATGATAGCATTCGCAAATACATTAATATTTGTAAATATTGAATTGGACATGAAATTATGGGTTTCAAATGAGATATATTTGAACTTTGATTGAATGTTGAAATAGTGATTTGTGTGTATATAGTTATCTCAAGTGAAGTATTTATCTAAGGTGAAAAAGAGTATCGATCCAAACTTTTATTATGTGCTATCAAAATTTTAATTTTCACAAAATCTTTTCCTGAGTGAGATACTATTTTCAAATAAAATATCTTTTTTATTTTATTTTTAAATTCAACTTCAAATTGAATGTTGTCCCAAGATCTCTGATGCGGGAGAAAATATTGTCCGAAGACATACTAGATATACGAAACAAGATTTCCCGTCTTTCGGCAACCAAATAAAGAAAGGAATAATATGCATTTTTTTATTTGGTTGGAGAAAAATTATTTACCCGTAAAACGGTACAGTTGAATTTATACGTGGGTTTTAGATAAGTGAATAATTCGATCCTAAAATAATAAAAGAATTGAAGAAATATGCAATACTTAGCCTTGAGATGAGGATGAAATAGCAGAAACAGTAATTCCGAGAGAGAAGCTTTCGGGCACAACAATAATGAAATCAAAAAGTAAGAAGATAAAATTGTATAGAGCTTTGAATTGATTATAGCATAAGTTTGCCACCATTGGTGCTTTTTGTTTTAAGACTGTCTTTTATTTGATTTATACTCTTTAATTGTATTTTCGCACGAAAATAACCGAACAAAGTTAGTCGGTTTTATTAAAAAATAAAATTACAAAGCAAAGTTGGTCGGTTTTTTAAAATGACCGGTTGAATTAACCGACCAATTTCGGTCGGTTTTTTTAATATTAGTTTTAATTTTTTTTTATGAAAAAGCGACCAAAGTTGATCGGTTTCTTGAAAAATAAATTTCGAGGGACTCAAAAATAGCTTTCCGCATTTTTGTGCCAAAGAAAACCGACCAAAGTCGGTTGGTTTCGTAAAAAAAAATTAAAAAATAAAATATTTTGAAAAGCCAACCAACTTTGGTCGATTTTTTGGCTGATTTTTTGACGGACCAAAAGTTGGTCGGTCGACCTTGGTCGGCTTTTGCCGAATTTCAAGTAGTGTTTTTTCTTTACTTTTTTCTGTGCTTTTAAATAGGAGTGTACGTGGACCGGGCTGGTTCAATTTTTATCAAACCAAACCAAACCAACTATATCGGTTTGGATTGGTTCGATTTTGTCGGAGTTTTCGGGGTTTTTGGGTTTTTTATTAGTTAAATATTATTTCAATCTTACTTTATTAAATTTTTGATAAGTAATATATTTTCAGTAAACATATAAAAAATTGACAACGATATTATCTATTAAAATATTCTTATGGGAGAATTTTCTTAGTAACGATATTTTAGTCGTCTGACAATAATTTTTTGTTGATGTACTTTAAAGGTTAACCGAATTTAGTAATTAAACATAAAAATCAATATGATTCCTAAATATTTATAATCACTTCACATTCGAAAAAGATATACTAAGAATTTAATAGATCTTAACATATGATATGAATATGGAAGAACAAAGAGATTGACGCATTTCAGTAATACTTGATAAGAAAGTGATCATACAACACATTATTTAAGGTTAGTAAATATGGAGCACTTCATATTCTATTAAATATTATATCCCGCAAGAGAATTCCAAATATTTCTAGATATTTTTTAAAGAAAATTCTATAAAAAAAATCTTAAAAGTATATATAAAAATAAATTTATATTTCGGTTTGGTTTGGTTCGGTTTCTTTTTTTTTTTTTTTTTTTTGCTAAGAAAGCTTTGATTGATTAAAGACAGTTAGGATACATAGGGTTGGACTAGACGGTATGTCCCAGTTCCAATTACATCAAAATGTAAAAGCGGGAAGATGAAAACTGGTGGATTAGCAAAACAGAAAACATCATTTGATTGTTGGTCCATTTTTTCCTTCCCATACTTGGCTAGTGCATCTGCCCACTTCTTTACCCTCTCTGAATATATGGTGTATCATGGTTCGGATTTTTTTACTCAATACCAAATCAAATCAAACCAAATCTAGTCGGATTTTTTAATCTGTTTAGTTTGACTTTTCAGTTTGGTGCGGTTTTCCGGTTCGGTTTGTACACCCCTACTTTTAAGTGTTTTTTTTTTTGCAACAAAAAAAAATTATATAGCAGCAACACTTTGATGTTTTATTTTATTTCCCATTAAATTTGAGAGCTTAATTGTTTGGATGATTTTACGGTTTATCATTAGGGAAGGTAAATTAGCTTTAAGCAAAATTTCAACCTGTAAATTATAACAACTTATAATAATCATAACCAGCGAATTTATACAAGCATTTTAGGAAAATAATAAAACTATAGTTTTGTTTTCATGTTTTTTACAAAAAAACTGATAGGTGATGACTGAATGGTCAAACATGTTAATGTGGCTTCTACTGAAACAGACTGAATATAGATATTTACTGCGCCAATTGAATTGACCCAAAGGACAAATACACAATGTTCTACTCTAGATTTTTGGCACATAACTCAGAATATGATGTGACTTACTGTTAGACCTCCGCCACTTTGAGCTTGACTTGACAACGGGAGTGTTATCATGGGGCAGCAAGAGTGTTGCCAAGCTAAGGTGCATGAGTAGCACCAAGGCAAAAAGGGAAACGAGCAAGTGATGGCCAAGGCTTTGACGGAGGCGAGGCAGCATGGCAAGGGCTTGACAATGAGTTGTGGGCTGAGGGTTACACTTGATCATGGCAAAGGCATCAAGGCATAGGCAGTGATGCCAAGGCAAGGCAAAAGCGAAGTGGCAAAGGCGGGCTAAAGTGAAACGGAAGGCAATGCGTGGGACAGACTTGTCATGGCATTGGGGCGCGGCAAAGGGCCATGTTCGTGGGCAATGACATAGGCAAAATGTGGCTACAATGCAGCTGAGTACAAGGCATTGGCGCCTGATTCAAGCCAAGGCACGAAAATGGGCAGCAAGCTTCAGATTGACCAAGTCAGGAGCGGTTACGGCACATGTTGTGCACATGGGGAGCAGTTGAGCTTTGCTAAAATGCTGGTAGAAGTGTTAGCACGCTTTTGGGGCCATGATCCCATTATTATTAGCATGATTTACATGATCCTAGTAGTTGGGGATTGTCAACTACACTAGGCTAAAATAGTGGGCTGTGTGGGACAAGTGTCTAGCCTAAGTGCGACAAGTGTAAGGCAAAAGGGCTGGTTCATGTGTTATAAATGGGCAGCACCCTTATGCTTGTGGGCATGAGTGAAAAACGTGTAGAGTGCATGTTTGAGTCTGTTTTCAAGAGTGAAAACACCTAAGGCTAAGAGTAGTCTTGTGAGAAAATCTGAGGGTCAAGAGTGATCTTCTTGTACACGGCATTGTACTTTGAGTTGAGTTTCTTTGTATGCTCGAGTTAAATACAAAGTTGGGAAAAGAGTTTCCTGTATATTGTGCCTTGTGTTCATCTATATTTTCTGTTGCCTTTACTTAATTTCGTTGCCTAAAATCAGTCCAAAGACTTACTACGTTGAAGCTGCCTAAAAATATTCTAAGTCCAAAGTTGTTGCAATTTTGGCTAAGTGTTGTGAAGGCTGAAGTCAAGCGTGGGACTTGACTGCCGCGCAGGCTGGTTTTCGGCGGACTGAAAACGCGCCTGTGACAACTGGTATCAGAGCGGAGCAGGTTCGTGAAAGAGACACGACGGGCAGTGGCAGATTTCGTAGTATTGTTTGAGAACATGGCCGGTGGTAACAACGAACTGCGGGAAAGTCTAACGAAACTGGAGACATTGGTGGGAAATGTTCCTGAAGGTGAAGAAATTTAGACTCTCGTGACAAGGCTTGCCTACCTTGAGGCAAAATTGGCAAGGCTGAGTCAAGAGAATGCGGATCTGAAATCCGAGACAGTTGTGCTGTGACGTGCTGTGGGGGAGGATGCTCCTCAACGTGGTGCTGATCGTCTCAAGGTAAATATTCCTGAACCTAAGGCATTTGGTGGTGTAAGGAGTGCACGTGAGTTGGAGAATTTTCTTTGGGATATGGAGCAGTACTTTCATGCAATTCTTGTGCAAGACAAGAAGGAAAAAGTAACCTTGACTAGCATGTATTTGAGCGAAGATGCTAAGTTATGGTGATGCACTCGTGTGGCTGAAGATGAAAGTTTGGGCACATCAAAGATTGAGTCGTGGGAGCGGCATAAAAAGGAATTGAAGTATTAGTTCCTTCCTAGCAATTGCTAAGGAAAAACTGAAAAAGTTGAGACCAATCGGATCAGTTAGAGCATATGTCAAAGAGTTCACTTCTTTGATGTTGAGCATCAGCAATATGTCGGAAGAAGACAAATTGCACAACTTCATGAGCGGGCTGCAACAGTGGGCACAATTGGAGTTGC